CAGTGTCTCCACTGGTGAAAAGTCCTCAATTCTCAGGTGCTGCTGCGGTGGTTGTGGGGTGGTAGTAGCGGCATCCTGCTGTAAGTCTACTACTGCCTCCACAGCTAACTACAGCTGCATCCGAGACGCCCGTGACGTCACTGCTGTAGTGGTGGCAGTCTGCTACTACATCCACAGTTACCGCAGCGTAGAATCAGGTCTACGAAATAATGTAAAATGTTGGATAGTAATTTAATTCTTTATTGTTTCAAATCATATACATTATGAGAGTACATCTTGCTCAATTAGCTGGCTTGTTTCTGCTGCTGACTTTAGGCGAATCTAAATACCTGAAAAAGAATGGAAAAAAATCTAAGTTAAATTCAAATTATCTCAGAGTTTAACTTAAACATGTTCTGGTCCATCTGTATCACTGTGACGCCAACTCATTGAAGGAACTTTCTATGTTACAGGTGGTAAGCATCAAGTCCAGGCCGAGGCACATCCCTTTGGATAAGAAGCAGCATCACTTCCTATTTTATTACAACTGCACCATACAAATGAAATAAATAGCAGTATTACTGTCAGATACTCCTAATGATTTGCCTCCAGTTCCGCACTAAAATTAAAACACGACTATACATTTTAGGCTCAAGTAATAAGCCTTACATGGAATAAGAATAAGCAGTAAAGAAATGACAAGTAACCCCCAAATAGAAACAATACCAAAATAAACTTTTACCAGACACGACAACCATAAATGTGCTAGTATTTTATGTTAACATCACATTGAAAGTCAAAACTTACCAGATTCATTCCTACGATCGTGAGAAAAAGGAGCGATTCCTCCTGCTGTGTGCTACGATGCCAACTCAGCATACAGCAGGTGACACATAGGCTGCTTTTCTGATGTCCAAGTCAGGTGCACCTCCGGGTCGATCTTCCTGCAGCAAACCAAAGATGCAATTTTATAGTCGAAGAAACAGGATGCAAAAGAGGCAGGAAGCACGCAGTTTCGACAGAGGAGGTCAAAGGCGACTCTCCTAGACCAATTCAAATCATTTCCAGCGATTTTTATTTTTTTCATTTTTGGCCAAATTTACAAAGGCTATAAGCCTTCCCATTTTTAGCAAAAATGGGTGGGTCGAGATTTCGACGAAGAGTAGTCGAACCGACAGGGGTGAACCAGGGAACCACAAAACTACTTTTGGTTCCGCCAGAAACCACCCCTGTCCAGACACTTGAGTTTTAAGGGGAGGTCTTTTGAATCTGGCGGGTAGCGTACGATGGGCTGCCTACCACGCAGGCGAACCGGTCCAAGGAGAACAGGCGCAACTCACTTGAAATGGACCGGCGGCGCGAAATTTCGACATTTCGACCATTTCCAGCGATTTTCGATTTTTCATTTTTAGCAAAATTTACAAAGGCTATAAATTGATGGGACCGGATTGCGATGGAGGAGTATTCGAATCGACAGGAGTGAACCAGGCACCACAAAACTACCTTTGTTTCTGTCAGAAACCACCCCTGTCCACAGAAACTTTAGTTTTATAAGAGCTGGTCTCTCTAACTAAGGGCGGGTAGGCCACCTAAGGCGCACTGGCTAAGAGCTCTGCTGTAGTGGGTCGGCCCCATGATATTTAGACAGAGCATGTGAAAAGGGAGTCTGCCCTACCAATCCAAACCAATTCCAGCAAATTTCCAAATTGCCAAGATTTTTAAAAGACATTTTCAGTGATAACAAATCAGCCTGGATTTTGACAGAGGAGGATTGAAATCGACAACAAAGAACCAAGGCACCACATAAAACATCAAAAAGTACCCTTTGATGCACACGAAAGGAAGCTCCTCATAGTGTCTGTACAGAGACAAATTGGACCTGCGTTGGCCGTTACTGTCATGTCAACTCACCTATTCTGTTGGGTAAAATGACTCCATAGACTTCTCTTGCTCATGTCAAGAACATTTCTGGGTCGAGATCCTGCAATCATATTAAACAGTACTTTTAGCGCTCATCAACTTTTAATTACATATAAATAACTCATACAATACAATTTTAAATGCCTCTCTCCCCATGCGTCTCTAAATGACTATGGTCTTTCAAATAACTAATTTTGGCACTGGACTAAGCATTAAGTACGAAGGGGCAGCTGCAAATTATCTGCAACGCACATTGATTGATTATTTGGGGGATTACGCAAATGGTACCACTCGGTTTGCACCCCAACCAGAGAGTAATAAAGTTTTCTGTTCCACGAGAATAATATAGAGTAAAATATATGATATGTGATAAAGCACTGGCAGGTTCACCCATTTGCATTAGGACCTACAACAGTATTTAACATACTGCATGGATTGGAGGAGTGTACCCATTCAACACTTTTTCAACAAAGCTAACAGTGAGCCAAGTTATTTACATCACGGGCATCATTTGCTCGGCCTCAAAAAATAACTTACAACTTAATTGGGCGTGTAAAAAATTGAGCCACAGGAGCATAACCTCCTACAACAATAACCGGAATGGAACAATTCAATATTCTGGACTGGAAACAAGTAAGCACTATACCTTGCAATTAATAACAAAAAGCGGCGAGGTCCAGTCTAAAATTCTGGTTAAAATCCTATGATCAATAATTGTATGAGTAGGTATTATCGGTATTTGGCAGAAACGCCGATCGTGACTCCGATTTTCACTGTTTGTTTAACCTTATCTGTGCGTGCAGCTAATTTCTTAGTCACTTGGAAGAAAAATGCAAAGAGTAAAAAAATTATACTGTTGAGAAACAGTGTCTCCACTGGTGAAAAGTCCTCAATTCTCAAAAAAAGAAAATCAAAAATAAATCTCAACAAATTATTTTTAAAAATGATAATAAATAAACAACAAACAACATTCAGGGAATGTTTCAAATATATTAGTATGTAAAATATTGCACTGTTTGACAACATCTGTTTGACAGATGAGTCAACTACTATTAAAATATCACAGCATATGAATTACAGATACAGTTGTAACAGTGACTAGAACTGTTTAAGCCAGCATTTAATGCACAGGGCCAAGATCACAGTGGGATATCCTCCTTTACAGTACGACATAGTGGAAGAACTTATTTTGATGCACATATGAGTATTACAACTCCACTCACTACTGTACCTTGATAAGTGTTGCCACATCTTTTTCAATATATCTGTCATTTTCCAAGTGGGTTAGGAGAGCCTGCAAGGTATTAATTTTCTTCTGTGCTCTCCTTAATTTTTGATTGAGGGTCTTAATTTTTAGCCGGTAACCATCCACTGTTTCTTTACTTAATTCATAGGATAACCTTCCCCTCTTTGGAGAGATCATGTCTTCCTCAGTCAGTTCTTCAAAGTGGCGTTTCTGTGGGGTTGCTCTTTTAACTAGTTTACTTAGTGGAGAACCTTGCTCACTACCACTGTTGATAAAAAGCACAGAAAGAATGAAGGTCAGTGTATATGACTGATATAATTAGAACTGAACTGAGAAATGCACAAACCCACATCCAATCGAACCTTACCTTGGATAAGTAGCAGTTGTACTATCAAAAGAACCTGTCTTCGCTTTAACTGCGGCTTGCTGACTGCTACAGGAAAAACATTCCAAAACTGATGAGCACGTACAACTAAAAATTTACTTAAAGACTAAATGTAGTTAATTATAAATATATGCAACATTACCTGGGAGCCAAATTCTCATTGTCAGGTGTCTCTTCATAAATCACTGACAAGCGATCTGACATAACCTTGGTGGTCTCAGAGGTTGGACTCTCAGCTCGAACGGGTTCCATTGGCAAGTCAATCACTACTGGCATACGCACTATTTCTGCTTGAGTGTAGCATGGACTACGATTGGGGCAAGGTTCCTGAACAGCAGACGGTTGTTCTTCCCGCATCTCACAATCATTTGTACCACAATCTAGCTCAAGTGGGTCCTCCTCAACAGTAGCAACAAACGCAGAGAAACTCTTCTGAAAGTCATTCACAGCAGAAAGTAAAGGAGACCACTCGTTTGGTATCAAACCATACTTATAGGCCACAGCACCAGTAAACCTGAGTGCAACGAAACAAAATTACACAAGATTCAGAACACTGATAAGGTAACAGCTATTTATTAAAATGTGCTACTCACTCAGGCGGTGGGATTGTGGGAATAGCATTTCTCTTCAAATTCCCTTGCCGAGTAAAAGATTCTGGAGCGAAATGATCCTTGCACAAACATGCCTTGGATTTGGCACCAGCTGCAAATG